AAAAGAAAGAAAAAAAAGAAAAAAAAGAAAAAAAAAAACCAAACCCAATTCACATCAAGTTTACTGCACATCTGGTTTTCTGTATAGAGGCAAATCCGATATGAAAAGCATCCCACTTGCTGTCCTCCACTGGCGTCGGCCCCCAACCCGCCCCCAACGAAAGGTTTAAAAACATCTGTACAATCAGGCCCATGCTTTAGAAAGGCAGGTTAGCCATGTTCCCCGGCCCGGGGATGTAACTCATTTGGCTGTCCAGGGAGACGCTCCTCTGCCTCATCTGGTGTGTGACCATTAGGTTCTGCTGCGGTGGGGGTCCCATGAGAGAGCCCTGAGGTGACATGATGTGTCCTGTCTGGGCATACATCTCCCCCGACACAGACATGCTCCTCTGCTTGGCCTGCATCAGCATGAAATTCTGCTGGGCCATCAGGCTCTGCTGCGGAGACATCATGCCCTGATGCATGCTGTTGCCCATCATGCCCTGCTGGGGCGGTATGCCTGTCCTGCCCAGCATGGGCACTTGTCCAGGATGGCACATGGGCATGCCGAGTCCCCTCTGCACGCCCTGCTGCCCCGGAAGGCTGGGGGCATTCATACCTGGCCTCACGGGGGGCTGATCAGCCATCATGTTCTGCAGGTTCATGAGGTGGAGGTTGGAAGGCTGTGATTTGGGTGCTTGGCTGTCACTCTTGGGGAAATACTGCAAGGTGCTGCTTGGCTTCTCCGACGGGATGATCCTGGACAGGTCAAACTCGGGGATGCCCGTGGGCGTGGGCCGGATGACCTCACTGAGCTCAGGATCGTTCAGTACCGATGCCACCCCGGGAAGCACAGCTGGGTAGGGCTCGCCGATCCGAGGAGGGATGTTCTTGCCCATCATGTGCTGCTGAGGAGGCATCTGGCCGGGCTGCTGGGTAGGAAGGTCCTCGGGTGGCAATGACATTCCCGGTGGGAAATGCTGCTGCATGCCAGGGCCACCTGCCCCACCAGGGGCCATGGGCATGCTTCCTGCAGGAGACTGCATGGCGTTGTGGGGCTGCTGCATGCGGGGGAACACGAGCTGGTTGGAAGGAATCATCTGTGAACTGTTGGGCACGGGGCCGCACTGCTGGTTCAGCGAGTCCTGGGGCCCCGGGGGCAGCATCATGGGGTTCTGGGGGGGCACACCCGGCCCCGGCGCACTCGGGTGCATAGGAATGTTGGAGCCTAGCGGGTTTGGGGAGGACATCATAGAAGTAGGGGGTGGTTCGTGGGAAAGAGGCTGCTGACCAGGCAAGTTGATTCCCATGGGGCTCTGGGAGGATCCAGGTCCCACGGAGTTTAAGTGCAGCTGATTCGTTTGATTCCCTGTCACACCTAAGGAGAGGAAAAAGAGAGAAGGGTTAACTCTGCCCACAGACCTCCATCCTGTGGAGCCTGCTGGGATCTACTGCCCAGAAAGCCCTGAGCTCCAAGGAAGGGGATGCAAGAAGGACTTGCAAAGCATCCAGAAGAAGTGCTCCGAACTTCAGCTCCCCAAGCCCACAGACAGCACAGAACGATTCCAGTTTTGCTCACTGCAATTCCGCACAGAGGACTGACCCTTTAGCACAGCCTTCCAGCTCCTCCTGTGATCACACACTGCTGAGTGGCAAGGAGGAACAAGACAGAAGTGCCAGCATCTCAACACAAGTGCTATCCAGGAGGGACAAACAGGCTCATCAGTACAGCAGATGCAAACTGCTCACAAAAAGGCTCCGTTTGAGAGGCAGTACGTGCATTTGCATGCTCATGGCCAAACCAAATGACTTCTTAGCAATCAAAGAGTCAACAAGTTGATTTTTCACTTTGAAAACCACCGAAAATATTTATCAAATAGCTTTAAACCCCAGCATCAAGTGGCACAGCCTGCTGGAATTCCCCTTCTCCTTCATACTGAGCACAGAATGATGAAAGGCAATCATTTGCCTAGCTGTCCTCATCAGTGCCACCAGCTAGCGAAGCGTATCTGGCTGTCGCTTACTGAAATCACAACTGTGCTAAGATACAGCCTTGCCTGTGCAGGCACCTGGGCTCCACTGAAAGCCAGCAGGCTCCCAAGCCCTGCTCTGAGCATCCCTCTCCTGCTGCAGGTTCCAAGCACCAGCCTTCTGCCTCATCCTGGACCTGAGATATCTTCACCTGCAGTGAAAACCCAGGGCCAACACATCCACACTGGGTCAAAGATGTTTTGAAAGCTTCCAGAGCTCATGGGATAAGTATGGCAGACTGGGTGATGTCCACCCAGGCAGCACAGACAAGCCAAAAGCAGATGGACACAGTGTGGACAAGTGAGCCAACTTAACAAATGAGGGCAAATTTCACCTGTTTGAGAAGGAAGCTGATGAGAGAACACACCAACACAGCAGCCCAGCCCTACAGGCACATACCTGCCATACTTCCAGGTGGAAGCATAGGCCTGTCTGGCAGCAGCTCGTCATCAGAGGTGGCAATGGTTTTGATGGCATTGTGGTAGAGTGGTGTGGAGCTGGGCATGGCGTACTTGGACATCTGAGACATCATCAGAGAAAGGGGGTTCTGGGAGGGGGATGGATCTGGAGAGGAAGTAAAAGGCATGTTGGGGTTCATGGTGCTAGAGGCTGGTTGGTTGCTGGCTGGTGCAGAAGAACTACTCCTGGGCCCAGAAGGGAGAGAACCTGCAAGCAAGAGAGAGCACAGCTTAGCACTGCACACACATAGCAGCTTTTCCTGTCAGACAGCAGCCCTGTTCCCAAACGATGGCTGCCAAACAGCTGGCAAGTCCTCAGGACTCTGAGGAGGCTCACACTCCAGAACTGTGATGGAGTTCCACTTCAAACTGCCCATGCCTTCCCAACTCAGACACATCTTTTTCTACCTGTATCACAGAGCACGAGCTAAACTACAATGGCTGCACCATTTGCCTTACAGATTACTCAGAAAGGCCCTTATTGGAACCCCTAGGGAAAAAAAAGTACTCAAAAATTAGACATGAGTGTCTCTCCACTCCTGTGAGAGCATGCAGACATGGGGAAAAATGGCCTAGCAAAGGGGTGGCGAATGCAAACACAGACCACAACAAATATAACTCTTGCATCATTCCAGTACACCACTTCCATGGCATCCACCCCAAGTCCTGCAGACAGCACTTATCCAGGCTTGTGCCTGACATCTCTGCTGACTGTCAGGGTAGAAACTGCTCTGCTGTGCCAGTAGGAAGGGGCTGCAAATGCACTCTGGGCTGCCTGCAACAAGCAGCCATGTGAGCAGAGCAGGAAGGAGAGCCACGATCTGCTTCACCAGGTACAGGAAGAATGAGGCTACAGCCAATCCAGGCAGGTTGGATTTGGGACCAGTGCTGATCCTATGGAGCTCTGATCACAGGGTGCTTGTTCCAGGGTTCTGGATGCTCACACACTCACCAAAACACACACAGGCACACTAAGCACACAAGATACCGACATACCCTGATCCAGTCCTGCCATGGACGTGGAGGAGTTCATGCTGAGTGTCTGCTTGCTCTGGTTGACTCCTGGGCTGGGCATTGTGGGTTTGGGAGATGGCACCCAACCCGGGGAAGGAACAGCCATGGAAGGGGACTTCAGGCGGCTTGGTGAGCCAGTAGGAGAGCGGACGTTAAGTGAGGAGCTCATCACCTGGGGAGACTTTAGGGGCCCAGACTGGTTAGAAGGTGGCATGCTGACCATCTGCGAGGGCGTCTGCGGGGACTTGAGGTTGGCAGAAGGCGAAGTGACCAGTGGAGAGTGCACCTGGCTGAGGGTGGGGGACTTGAGGTGACCCATGCTGGGGGAGTTCATCTGGCTGATGTTGATGGTGAGGTCGGAGGGTCGGCGGCCCAACCCCCGGGAAGGTGCTGGGTGCATATTGGCCAGGTTTCCCCCTTGTGCAGGAGCAGGATTGGAGGCTGGAGGCAGAGGGATGTGGCTGAGTCTAGTGGTACCACTGATGCTTCCGACAGGCATGGTGCCCTGCTCAGGGCTGAACATGTCTGAGGCATTGCCCATCTCCTGAGGCATGTTGGGGTAAGGTCCTTGCCCACTGGAGAAACCTTGTTGTCCCTGGCTGGGGAACTGAGAGGGAATCATCATTTTCTGCGGTCCCCCCAGCATTGCACTGCCATTGCCATTCTGAGCCCTTGCCCTGGCCAGCTCCTCAGGGCTCATACCCTGATGGGCCATCATGTCAGGGCCCCTCATCTTCTGCGACATCATCATCTGCTGCTGGGGGGTCATCTGGACATTAAGGTTCATGTTCATGTTCATGTTGACATTCATGTTCATGTTGAGGTTGCCAGGGCCCATGGGTGCGTCCATGTCCCGAAGGCCTGACTGGCTCATGGGGGGACTCAGTATCCCACGACTTCCTGCAAAATCCATTCCCATTGGGTTGCTGCTGAGGTTGTCCCCTGCTATCTGCCCAGCAAACATGGATGGATCCATCTGTCTGTGAGCCTGTATCATCCTCTCCATTTCCATACCCTGGCTCATGGAGTTGCTGGACATCCCCATGGGCCTCTGCATCGCCACCGGGCGTTTCTCCATCAGCTGGTGCCGCAGAATCTCCTCCCTGGCACGTGGATTCATGAACCTTTCAGGGTCCCCCTGCCCTGATGGGTAGGGCAGGGAGCCCTGTGGGAAGTTCCCGGGACCTCCCATCGGGGGCAGATCATCACTCCACCCCATGCCAGGCCTGACTGGCCTCTGCATGGCATTCATGGGACCAAGAGCATCCAAGGGCATGTTCTGCATCCCTCCAAAGCCAGAGACTCTCTGTATTTGATTTCCAGGGAATCGTGGCCCTGGGAAGGGTGGCCCTCCCCTTAGCTGCATAGGGTCCTGCACGTCCATGGGTCCCCGCAGCTGGCTGCCCATGCCTGGCGGCCACTGCTCCCCAGGCTTACTGTGGTAGGGTGGGGGGGGGCCACGCATCATCATGCTGCCCATAGATTGTGGAATCATGATTTCCTGCATGGGTCGGCCATGGATGCTGATCTGCTCCTCTTTCCGGCGCTTCTCCTCATAGTACTCTTCCTGCAACTTCCTCCAGGCCACTTGCTCTGGCGTCAGGCTGTCCTGGTTCAGCCGCTGCATCATCATGTTCATCTGCTGCCCCATGTCAGTGCCGGGGTGGTGGGGCACCTCGTGTTCCAGGCTGGGGCCGCCGAGGCTCTGGGTCTGGGAAATCATGGACTGCAGAGGCTCCTCGTACTTCTTCATGCTGGCAGGGGGAGCGGGGGGCTGGGCAGGGGCAGCCTGTGGCTGAGGGGCAGTCCCACCCTCACCCGTGCTTTGGCTGGACTTCATGAACGGCTCAGCCTCCCCGCTGCGCAGCAGCAGACGCTCAATGTCCCGCAGGGTCTGCAGAGAGCGCTCTCGGTGCTCCAGCTGCTCCTTCGAGAGCCCTTCTGAGTTCATGGAGTTCCTGGAGCCCAGCCCTGCCTGCCCATTCCCCTGCATCCCTGAACCCGGGCCCTCCCCGAGGAGGTTGGAGCTGGACGTGGCAGAGTCCACCTGCCCAGGCTGCATGGTGGTGGTAGATGCAGTGGGTGTATTGGGGTGGTTACTTCCAGGCTGGTTGCTGCCGCTGTTGTTTCCTAGAGAGTTGGGAGTCAGTTCTCTTCGGACATCTTCACTTGTCCCCTCCTGGGGCAGGTTGTTGGGTGCAGGTAGGGCTGTCTGACTGATGGCCTGAGGTGGAGGAGGAGGCTGTGGTGGGGGAGGCTGCGGCTGTGGCTGACTTGCTTGAGGTGCTGGTGGCTGCGACTGGGGAGTGTTGGCAGAAGGAGGGTTAATTGGAACCTGCTCAGCAACTCCCAGCACTTTAGGAGCTGGCGCCTGATAGAGAAAAAGAAAGACAAAGTAAGGATGAAAATGCTCTAGCTATTCTTCCCATAACCTATAGGAAAACAATCTGAAACACGCCACATGGCAGCTCTGCCTTCATTCCTCGTGGGGAAGAAGCAGGCCCCATCACATGGCCTGGAAACACACAGTCATGTATTCTGCCCACATATCTGTGGGGCCACATAACATGCCCCAGCCCAAATTCTTCACAGTTTACAACAACCAAGACTCATTCTGAAGTGGCTTCAAAGAAAGCACTTCCCACACTGCTGAAAGGGAATTCTGATTCCCTGTTCCTCCACAGCTAAGCCAGGAGCTGGGGGAAACAGCCATGTCAGAACGGAATGGTCAGCAGCAGCACTTGCCAACAGGAGCATTTGGTCCATGGCCAGTATACCTGGTCTAGCTTTGCCCGTGGAACGTTTTGCTGATGATAGGCCAGAATGGAGTCAGCTCGGCCCTGCAAGACAGCTTCCGCAGCTCTGGGGAGAGAGAATCAACCACTCAAGATCAGACAATGTGCCCCATCCCGGGCCCCAGGCACCACCTCCTCTCTTCAGTCCTATGGGAACAGGGAATTCTTAGGAGGTCAATAGGAACGGGGGGGATATTCTCAGAGTCCTCCCACCTGTCCTGCACAGGCCACAGTGAGGTTTTCCAACTGAAGATCACCTGCCTTGGAATTTCCCTCTTCCCATGGCCTGTGCTGGGCCTTCTGCTCTGCTTTGTGCCTGCTGCTCCATGCTGCCCTATAGGTAGCTGTTTCCAAGATGCTCTGCCACACACAATACACGATCTAGCAAAAAGCCCTAAAACTCAGTCTTGCTAGACTCTATGGCTGAGACAATGCAGAACAGAAGTGAGGAACTGAGTGGAGAGCACCAAGCATTACATGGCATTCCCTGTGACAACCCAACCCCACAGATGCCCCCAGATCAGCAATCCACACTGCTCTGGGTGAATGGACAAGATCTACTGCTTACGTGTTAGCAAGGTGCGTTGTAAAGACGTAGACGAACTGAGAAGGCTGCTTTCCTGTTCCACCACCTCCACCTCCCGCACCATCCGACCGTAAGCCTGGGGCAGTACCATGAGGTGTGCTGGCAGAACTGGTCTCATTCAGGTTTGGCAGCGGGTTGGACCCTGGGCCAAGCTGCGAGGCCGTGGACATTGCAGGATCTGCTACATTACAATCTGTGGGAGCACAGGACAGGAGTTACTGAAGCCAGCGCTGCAAGGGAAGCAGAGCAGCCTTTGCTGAACGGCACTGCTGTCTGGAGCAGAATGAACGGAAGAGATGGAGGGAAGCAGGAAGGCTCCCGGCACCACCAGATGGCAGCACCCGACCAGCAGTGCCTGCAATCTTGGTGGCCAATGTCCCCAGGCGCCCAAGCGGCCCAGCTCCTCCTTTGGTCTCTCCTTCATCTCAGGGTGGCCCCAGGCTCATCTCATCTCCCTTCCCATGGTGCTAACAACAGGGACCCGGGTAGCAGGGGAAAGAGGAGATGCTTTGCACCAGCGATAATTATTAATCATCATTAATTATTGAGTAATATTCCTAATTAATATTAATAAGCATTGTAATTAACAGCAGCATTCATTGCTTTCCTCTTGCTCAGCTCCATACACACACTACAGCCACTGAGCCAGGCCTGCTCTTTTACCAACAGTCTGGGGCAAAGCAGTGGCACTGAGGGATGTGGTCAGTGGGCAGCACTGGTGGTAGGTGGGCAGTTGGACTGGATGATCTTGGAGGTCTTTTCCAACCTCAATGATCCTATCATTCTAACCAGCTGGCAGGAAAGTCTCGCAGTCCTGCCTGCCATCCCGGCCCTTGTGAACCACACAGAGATAAACATCTCAGGGAAGACGGCTGCTGTGCACTGGCAGGCATTAAGGCCACACGTCACACAGCTTTATGTGCACGTTTGCTGACTCACAGTGATACTGAACTGCCACGCAAGGCAGAGCACTTCTTCCAAAGAGAAAGAAACAGCCGTATTTTTTCTAACATCCTGCACTCCGGTGGACAGGAAGAGATGGAAATTAAAGCAACCAGATCTGAAAGTTCACAAAATTTTTACACCTATACAACCTCAAAACATCAGTCTGAACTTTAGGAATAGCTAGCTGGGCTTCACTAAAGGCCGTGGCTGGAAGAACTCCCTGCTCACAATGGCCTGCTCAGCTCTGCCTGAACCACTGTCAAGACACCAAGGAGCACCTTTAGCCTCATTTGCACAGATGAAGGTATCTGGGCAGCATGGGCATCCAACCTCAACACTTTCCCCCTCCAGCATCTCAGTGCATCTCCACAGAACAAATCCCACACCTCGCTGTGTGGCTGCAGATACTCTCAGAGCACAATGATCAGCCACACTCCCAGGAGAGATCTGGCTTTATTCAAGATTCTGGGCAGGTATGGAGGTAGGCACTCACTGTGTGCACTGCTGATGGGCTTGTCGTCTTCCTCGCTGTCTGGCCCAGAGCACCATTCGTCCCCACTGTACGGCTGCTTCCTTTCCAGCACACACCGCCGCTTGCTGCGGGGAGCCACCTCGCCTGCAAAGGACACAAGAGTCAGAGGAGCTGAGGAGAGCTGCCAAGGGGCTGAGAAGGCTGGGGCTCTGCCTGGCTGCAGTGAAGGAGGCTGGGGAGGCATGGTGTGCAAGGCCAGGCTCTTTAGCTTGGAGCTCACCGAAGCCCAGGTTTGCCAACCATGTCCTGCAGGTATCTGGGCTGGCACTGAGACATCATCCCCTGAGCAGTGGTCAAGGGGCAGCCTGGGGATGGCGAGCCAAGACCCCAGGTGGCAGTGGGACCCACGCAGGACTTGGCCGTGCTGCCAGACATGGCCTCCTGTATTCTGAGCACTGTGCCAGAGCTGCAACACAATTCCTTCCAGCAAGACCTTGTGAGAGGCCCGGGATGAAAGCCCTTCAGCAGCAGCACTGCCTGGCCTGAGGCACCGCTCACAGAACATCTCTGCAGCCCACGCTGGGCCCAAGCTGTTACCCTTTGGCTGAGGATGCTGGCAGCTCGCTGGACCCAAGGATTATCCTGTGGGCACAGCCCAGATGCTCGCTCATTGAGAGAGGCACAGCACTGGCTGAAGGGAAAGCACAGTCAGTGCTAGATGTCTGCCATTCAGAAAAACTCAGTCTGGCACAAGAGACAGACAGGGAGCTTGTTAGAGGCCTGCTAGGTTCCTCCCCCCTCCCTCGCCAACTCCCACAGGACACATCCTGCGAGGAGACCTCCCAGCTACTCGTCTTGCCTGGCACCAGCAGAGCACCAAATCCTGCATCTCCCCACCAGGCTGGCAGTCAGTGCTCAACATCACTGCCTCATCCCTGTCCTCCTCCCTTTCTCCACACGTGCACTCGCTCTGCTCCTCCACAGGTCTGCATTCCCACATGCACAGCCATCCGTCCTCCCAGACACAGGGCTGCATGGCTCTCCTGACGAAGTACTGAGCAAGTACTTTTGTGTGTTTTTTGTTGTTTTTCTGCCTGGACAAGGGCTTCAAAGAGTAATCAATGCTGAGAAATGTCATTAAAAGACAAGTAAAACCTGAAGATGTTCACATCCTTGGTAGGAACAAGAGACACAGACTCTGCTTTTCGAAGCCATTCATCAGGCAGGGGCCTTTACACCCTCTCTAAACTCAGACGTTCCCTTGATTTCATAGCTCAGGTTGGGGCAGCTTGGAAAGGAAGCAGCTTGCCTGAAGGCACCCAGGAATCATAGAATCATAGAATAGCTTGGGTAGGAAGGGACCTCAAGGATCTTGAATCTCCAACCCCCACCACATGCAGGGCCACCAGCCTCCCCATTTAATACCAGCCCAGGCTGCCCAGGGCCCCATCCAATCTGGCCTTGAACACCTCCAGGGATGGACAGGGCTTCCACAGCCTCTCTGGGCAGCTGTTCTAGCACCTCACCACTCACCTCACCACTCCCCCTGACATCCAACCTAAATCTTCCCTCCTTCAACTTCGAACCATTTCCCTTTGTCCCAGGGTTAGGGTTAGGAACAGGGCCAGATGACCTTCAAAGATCCCTTCCAGCTCTAAGGATTCTATGATTGATAACTTCTAGCTCTGTGTTAACTCCAACGTAACACTGTCTGATCACTCTCTGTATATAATCTAGAGGTTTATGGGCCATATTAATGCAACGTGTCAGCAAACTACAGGAGGATTCAGGCATTCCTGATCATGTTATTTCAGTAGATTTCCTGTGTCACATGGAACCAGTGGGTACCACGCTCTGTGAGATGCAGGACAGCACAGGGAAGGCTGGCTGGGACAGGGGAGTCAAAGGATTTGGAAGTAGTGACTCAGCCCTTCTTTAGAAGTCAAGTGTTTCTACACAGGAGTCATCCACAGCTAAGGAAACCACAGAGCTGCTCAGGCAGCGACCCTCGCAGCAGCTCCTCACTAACCAGGCGAGGAGCTGGGCAGCTGCAGAACACCACCAACGGCAGCTCTTTGCCAGCAGTGAGAAGACACAAAACAACTACCTCTGTCCTGAGCTGAAAGTCTGTACGTTGCAAAGCAGAGCTGCTCAGAACAGCGTAGGTGAAGCAAGCTCTTGTTCAGCAGGCCTCAGAAGCCCATTCAACCCACAGTTCCAGACTCTCGATGTAACCAGCAGTTTAAGAAATGACAATGCTCAGCCACTCTGGTCCCAGAACTGCAGATGAGACAAGTGGTGATGCACAGGCTGCTGGGGTAGGTCCAAACAGAAGGGCAGCATTGAAACACAAGCTGCTTACAGCTGCTCCCATCCCCGCTCCTGCCCGAATGCTTGGAGCAACCGAGAGAAGGACTTTTGAAGCACAGTTTAGAAGCACATTACCTTTTGATTCTGTGTCCAGCGACGGGGTGCCAGCTTCTCTCTGCTCTCCTGAGTCCACTGAGATGCTTCGTTCCCGTTTCACCTTGCCTTTCAAGGAGCTGAAGTTCGGGACAGTGTTCTGGCTGTTTTTCAGTCCAGAGTTGCCAGGGGAGATCTGGGTGGCCTTGCCGCCATGGCTGCCTGCACCCACACCCTTCGAGCCCAGGTTGCAGGTGGGTGCTTGGCTCACGTTGTGGTGCTGGGCCGGGGCACCGCTGCTGCCTGCCTTGCCATGGCTGGGCAGTTTGTTGTCAGGGTGCATTGGATTGGCTGAAGCGTCCCACAGCACCAGTGGAGGGAGCTCCCAGGCCCTTCTGTCACAAACCTGCAAGAGAAGAAGGCAGAGGGTGAGCACGGTGCCCCACACAGCAAGGGAGAACCCAGAGCTGCTCATACGACATCGCTCAACCTGCAGCCCTGGGCACTGCTGTGTGCATCCCTCACAGCTTACAACTACCTTCGACTTCCCGCATGGGACAGGCACTGTGGGAGCACCAGAATGGGCTGCTTAGGGTGCCCATCTCCAACTTTAGGGATGCAGCTCTTGAACAAAGACCTGTAGTATACTCATTGCTAAAGACTCTGACAGTGCTGTGCAGAACAAAGAGCATCCCAGTGAGAACCGCTCCTCAGCTCTCCTGCGTCAGGGCCTCACACTGCCCTGCCACAGCCCTGTCATTACTCTTCTCCCTGCCACAGGCGAGTTTGGGGAAGGAAAGCAAACCACGTGTTTGGGGAAGCTGAGGTATCCCTGTCTGCTTGCATACTTCTATGTTGTTTGCATGACACCCCCTCCACACAGGCGAGAACCTTTCCCTTGTATAGGCAGACGCATTTCCCAGCACGCAGGGGTTACTGGGACCACGCTCCTCCCATCTGGACTGAGCAGCCCAGAGGCTGAGCACAGATTTTTTCTGCCACCCTGGGACACGCAGCACCAAACTCTGTGGCTCTAAATAGAACACAGTGCCCAGCAGCACCGTGCACACCACCTCCAACTTGCTGCTGATGGCTGCGAGGCACAGGCTGCATGTTGCAACAGACTGCCAGGGAGTTCCCTGCCTGTAAAATGGACTTCTCCACACCTGCTCCCTGCACCAGGGCTGGTTAGTGTGCAGCAGTGTGCAGCAGTGCCTGGCAGAGCAGCATGCGGCAGGAGCTCTACTGCACAGCCCTACAGCACAAAGCCCTATTGCACAGCCCCACTGCATACAGCCCTAATGCACACAGCCCTACAGGACAGCCTTACAGCACACAGCCCTACTGCACAGCCCTACAGCACACAGCCCTACTGCACAGCCCCACTGCATATGGCCCTAATGCACAGTCCTATTGCACAGCCCTACTGCACACATCCCTACTGCACACATCCCTATTGCACACATCCCTACTGCACAGCCCCACTGCATACAGCCCTACTGCACAGCCCTACAGCACATAGCCCTACTGCACAGCCCCACTGCATACAGCCCTACTCACAGCCCTACAGGACAGCCCTACAGCACACAGCCCTACTGCACAGCCCCACTGCATATGGCCCTACTCACAGCCCTATTGCACAGCCCTACTGCACAGCCCTACTGCACACATCTCTATTGCACACATCCCTACTGCACATCCCTACTGCACAGCCCTACAGCACATAGCCCTACTGCACAGCCCCACTGCATACGGCCCTACTGCACAGCCCTACAGCACACAGCCCTATTGCACAGCCCTATTGCACAGCCTTACTGCACACATCCCTATTGCACACATCCCTTCTGCACATCCCTACTGCACAGCCCTACAGCACACAGCCATGCTGCACAGCCCGCCCAGGCGTTCCTGCCTAGTTAGCAGCATCATTTGCGCACAGCTTGCCCTATCACTGCTCCCTAACTAGCGACTCGTTAGCTGCTCCCTCCTCCTCCCCGCACACCTCTCTGAGGGCTCCGCTGTAGCCCGGAGGAAGATGGTGAGCCACAGTGCTGATTAATTTTCACAGCACATAAGGGAGTTGCTAGCCCTTTAAGCATCAGCCAGCCTTGCTCGCGCGCTCTCGTTCTCTGGGGACCTATTAATAGCAGCTGGAAAGATCACATCACTCTCTGGATATTTATACCCCTCATTCCACACCAGGAGAGATTTATGTCAGAGCCGCGGTCCCAGTGCCTGCCCAATTGCTCTGTCAAAGCGTTTGCAGGGGGAGGGGAGCGGAGTGGGAAGGGAGACACAGAGAGGGCAAGCAGGGAGGAGGAGAAGGTCCATATGGCACAGACTGCGGCATTAAGCACACATGCTGCCTGCAATCACAGGCTGGCCAGCCTCGGGGAGCCTTCACCCCGCTGGAAGAGGCTGCTGCCAGACAGCATTCCAGAGAGTGAGCCCCGCAGCAGCCCGTGCCACCGACGGCCCCCAGCCCTGCCTGCTGCTCCACCAGCTCCACACCACGCCATTCGTGCAACACATCGCAGGGCCGTCCTGAGGGTCACAATCTGATGCGCGCCCAGACGCCGCTAGATGAGCAGAGAGGAGCTACCGCCGCTGCTGCTATCAGCGAGGAGACGCGAGGCCGCCTGCGGCACATCTGCATGAACGCAGTATTTCATTCAAAACAGATCCCAAAGTGCTTCACCAAACACGCTCAGCAGCACTGCAGCACAACACGAGCTGGAGCACAGCGCAGACGTGAGCGTGCTGAGGAAGGAAAGAGAAAGCCAGGTCCCTGCTAAGGCCGTGCCCACAGGCTCCAGACTGACGGTCAAGATGCACCCACTGTCCCTCAGGTCAAACTCATTCATCAACGAGTCAGAAGCTGGAAGGTCCCTTCCAAAAGGCCCAGTAGCAACCCAGACTTTTCAGCAGTCAGGGAGCCACAGAATGGCTCAGCTTGGATTGGAGCTCAAAGCCCACCCAGTGCCACCCCCGGCCATGGGCAGGGCTGCCCCCCACCAGCTCAGGCTGCCCAGGGCCCCATCCCACCTGGCCTTGAGTGCCTGCAGGGATGGGGCACCCACAGCTCTGGGCAGCAGTGCCAGCGCCTCGCCGCCCTCTGACAAAGGATTGCTCCTCACAGCTAACCCACATCTCCACTCTTTTAGCTTAAAGCCATTCCTCCTTGTTCTATGACCATTCCCCCTTGTCCTATGACCGTTCCCCCTTGTCCTATCATGTAAAAGCAGATTCTTTCCTACAGACATGCCTACCACGCTACACCCCCATCATACAAACTCTCTTTGCAGCTAATCATGGAAGTTCACCATGAAAGGTGCTTCACTCACAGACAGCACACAGCCACCCACCTCACACAGCCTGGATAACCTCACCCCATTCAGGAAGACAGACATCCCTCAAAATGCCACGAGGGAGGACGGCCCTACAGGGCCCAGCAGCCATTCCAATGAAACCTCCAGGTGCAGAGCAGCCTCGCTCACTGTGAGGTCCCCTACAGAACACTGTGTTCTAAGGGCATCTAATTAGCGCTCCTCCTCCTTTTATTTTGGGTGCTCCATGGAGGACATCCCATACCTTGCCTCAGCTGATGACAGCACAGAAAGCCACGCAGAACTGACTGTGACCCGGGGAAATTCTCCTATTCCATCCTATTCCGTTCTTAACTGAGCCCAGCCACACCACACTCGCAAATCCTAGCAGGAGAAAGGCCAGAAGCAACTGCCTGCAGATTCTACTGTGCTCTCAGAAGCAGCAACAGTTGGATCTTGCTGAAGAGGCATGGCGGGACTCCACCCCAGCCTCCCATCTGTCTGGCTGCAGCATGCTGATAGACATCTTGATTGCTGCGAGCTCCTTGCACACACCCCTTCCAACCAGATTCCAGCAGGCATGCCACGCATCTGGGCCACAGAAGAGAATTAATTAGAAAGAAGATACACTGACACAGGCAGACAAATGATCCAAAACGTCTTGAAAAGAACACGAGAAAAAGGAGATTGCATAGAAATGTGGCTCCCTCTGCAATTTAGCAACACACACGCTCCAGCCCAGCAGTTTTAAAGACAATAGAAAATCTAATTCCCAGTGGCTACAGCGAGGAGCCAAGACTCCTGGGTCCTAGCCCTGCTGCCACCAGATCCGTGAGTGATCCTGAGCATGATGGGTTTTGTCTGGTTGCCTTGATTTCCCCATCAGAAAACAGGCAGCCAACCTACCTGATGAGGGGAAGGAGCACACAAAGCTCAATCGATAGCTCTGCTGAAAGATGTGCTGTATCTAAATGCAGAGGGAGAATATTTGTGTCTTGTACGTCTGAAAAGCTTTAAATCAAAGACTTGGGCAGAAGATAAACCTCACATGGAAACAACGAAAACTGCTTTCAGCAAAGCTTCACTACACTCTGAACAACAGCAGGGGAGGAGGAAACTGAGCGAGGAGAGACTGAGCTGACAAACTCCCCGTCCTGGAATTGATAGCTGATAGTTCAGGAAACCTGAAACCCCAATGCCTTCCCAGAGGACTTTCTGGTGAATCATGCTCCCACTCTCTCTGAACAGCAACACAGATTCCCAACACCACCACAAGTATGCAGAGTGTGCAGCGCGTGGTGCAGGGCAGGAGAGCTCCTCGCAGCACTCTGCCAGCCCAGCAATGAAACCTGGATAACTGCAGACTTGCACACGGTGGATATCAGCCTCCTGAGCTGCACCGACATGCCCCACCAACAGCAAAGACAAGATGCTTTGTGATGAAGTGATGCAACAAGCAGAGAGCAACCAGGCCCTGCTCTGCCAGCCAGCTCAGGGAGTAACAAGGGCAGGCTGCTGCTGCACTGTGCTGAGCACATCACCTACGCTGGCAGCACAGCTGCTCAGCCTTTTAGCACTGATCCTGAGACAGCCCTGATCCAGAATGTCCCACGGATATCACCACAATCTCAGTCATAGGATGGTTTAGGTTGGAGGGGACCTTAAAGACCATCCAGTGCAGACACAACAAGGTCTCCCTGCAGCTTTGTCTTCTCCAAGCCGAACAAGCCCAGCTCCCTCAGCCTGTCTTCACACAGAGGTGCTCCAGCCCTCTGACATCCTCGTGCCCTCCTCTGGACCCGCTCCAGCAGCTCCGCATCCCTCCTGTCCTGGGGCCCCAGGCCTGGGCACAGCACTGCAGGGAGACTCATCACAGAATCACAGAATGGCCAGGGTTGGAAGAGAGAGACCTCAAGGATCATGAATCTCCAACCCCCCTGCCACATACACACTCATTGCCAGCCTCCACCTGGACACAGAGCCACGATGAGATCCTTGGCAATGTTAGATCCTTGGCAAGCTCAGAGGCTTCATGAATTAAGTGTTCATGGGTCAGCAAGCGACACCCCAAAGAGCTGCTGCCATCTCCTAAAAGTCTCTCTTACCCCCAGCCTGGATGAGACCACGGCACGCTGCCTAACGCTGCCTAACAGCCCTAAGAGCAGCAGCTGTCCCAGGGTTAGCAGCAGAAAGGGACAGCACACTTTCAAAGAGATATCACACTACTTCATTGAAGTCAAAGCATTTCACCTAGGCACGGGCTATGACAAGCTTTCCAGAAGCAAGATTTCTGATGTCTAAGATTCCTGGATCATTTCTGATTTGAGAACAAAACCAGTTTCAGAAATCTGCCTTTTTCGGTGCAAAAATGATTGTTCCAAACCAATCTGTTTTGCGAGACCATCCAGCGGACTTTGATTCTGTTCCAGTGAGAAACAAACCCCCCCCCCCAAACAGTAGGAGAACTATATAACTGTCATCCTGCCATCTCCAGCCAAGAGTCCACGATGAGCATCAGCAGCCAGAGGCGCCCTGAAAGCCACCCGAGCCCAACAAGCACAGCTCAGCACCAGCATGCCATGCAGCAACCGTGCAGCTACAGGAGTGCCTCATCGTTATCAAGCATCAGGAAATTATCTTGCTCTGATAGAGTCAGATGGACAGCCTGGAGAAGCCCATTCACTTCTTGTATGCTTTACATGCCTTTTTCAATGGCAGAAGAGGTGACAGCCTCACAGCTTCTATAGGAGGATTGAAAAAGACCTGCAGAGAAAACCTAATGCTCTGTCAAATCCTAGCGGTTCTCAGAGTCATTTGGTGGATCCTACTGCTCTCCTGTCATTTGGAGCTGCCTTGGAAATAATACATTTCGGTAGGGCTGCTTGGTCTCAAAGGAGGATAAAATCTCAGCTTCACCTTCCCTTCCACCTATGGAGAGACATCCCCATGTACATAACGCTCAGAAATCCACTTGGAGCTGTGCCTCACGCTGCCCCCTAATACACTGACACTCACGAGCAGCAGGCTTGGAGGTAAGATCCTGAATACTCAACTTTCCCACAAGTCTCACAACGGAGTCAAGTCTTGCCTAAAGCCATGCAAGTCAGGTAAGGCGTGATGTGTATACCATAAAATCACTGAATCATAAAGCACTCTTGATTGGAAAGGACCTTAAAAGATCATCTAATCCAAACTTGCATGGAAAATGGTGCCTAAATGAGATTATCCAGTACCCTGTCCAGACAACCATCCCCAAATCATGCAATGATGTTTCAAGTCCTTTTTCTGTCCCCGACCTGAAAAAAAGTCTCCTACATTTCTTCAGCCCTTTCACAGATGGCCCTGGTTTTCACCACTTTCTCTAGGACAACTCATGTTTTTAGAGCCAACACCCATGCCATTCTGAGCTCTTACAAATGCAGATTCATATACCTCCACCCATACTTAAATTCTGCTGCCAAAAGCAGTGCTAAGATGCAGGGAGTACTTGGAACCCTGCCCTGCAGGATGATCCTTAAGAGCAAGTAATCTGCAAAGTAGCCCTGGGACATTGGTGGGTAAGCTAGTCTGTATTCCAACAAAAGCATCATAGAATGGCCTCAGATGGAGGGGATCTGGGCACAGCACTGCAGCTGGGGCCTTCCAGGGGCAGAGCAGAGGGGCACAACCCCCTCCCTCTCCTCTCCCTGCTGCCACCCCTCTGTTGCTGCAGCCCAGGGGACTGTCGGCCTTCCGGGCTGCAGGCGCACACTGCTGCCTCATGTCCCCTTCTGTCCAGCAGGACCCCAAGTCCTTCTCCGCAGGGCTGCTCTCAGCGAGTTCTTCTCCAGTCTGGGCTCATGTCTGGCACTGCCCCGACCCAACAGCAGCACCTGGCCTTGTTAAACCTCATCAGGTTCTCATGTGCCCCCTTTCTGAGCCCGTCCAGCTCCCACGGATGGCGTCCCTTCCTGCTGCTGTGTCCACTGCACCACTCAGCTCGGTGCCATCAGCAAACTGCTGAGGCTGCACTCCATCCTATCATCTGTCACTGATAGAGATGCTGAAGAGCACCGGTCCCAAGATGGACCCCTGGGGGACACCACTCATCACCGGCCTCCACCTGGACATGGAGCCATTGACAACAGCCCTCTGGCTGCGACCATCCAACCAATTCCTTATCCACCAAATGGTCCAGCCTTCAAATCCATCTCTGCAATTTGGAGATAAGGATGTGGTGCAGGACTGTGCAAAGGCACAACTCCAGGTAGATGACATCAGTTGTCCTTCCTTTGCCCCCCCAGTGCCATCACTCCATCACAGAAGGCCACTGGATGGATCAGGCACGCTCTGCTGTTGGTGAAGCCGTGCTGGCTGTCTTGGATCATCCCTTCATCTCAATGTACCTTAACATCTTTCCCAGAAGAATCTGCTCCATGATCTCCCCAGGCACAGAGGTGAGGCTCCCCAGCCTGCAGTTTCCAGGTCATACCAAGTCCCTTCCCACACACTGCCAAAGTCAGGGTTTCTGCTATGCCACATGTGCAGGACAGAAGTTAACTCCTGGCACCCCTTCACCTTCAACCCAGCAGAACCCAGCATGGTTCCCAGCCACCGTGGAGCAGACCGAGCGCCCCAACCCACCGGCTGCCCCACGAACTGTGGGGTGAAGCCACTAGGTGTCACCCTCACCCAGGGCAACCTCAGCCCAAC